GGGCCGGGCCGGGCCAGGCCGGGCCGTGCGGCAGCCGCCTCACCGCTCCTCTTCCCCTTCAGGAGACCCGAAGCAAGACCTGGCCTACGAGCGGCAGTACGAGCAGCAGACCTACCAGGTGATCCCCGAAGTGATCAAAAACTTCATTCAGTATTTTCACAAGACGGTGTCGGATCTCATTGACCAGAAGGTGTACGAGCTCCAGGCCAGCCGGGTTTCCAGTGATGTTATTGACCAGAAGGTGTACGAGATCCAGGACATCTATGAAAACAGGTGCAAAGCCGTCCTTCCTGCAAGGGGGAATCACTGCTTAAACTGTGATGAAAGTGCACCCTGCTCTTAAAAGAAGAGGCTGGCTACTACCCGTGTTGTTCCAAACTTGGGCTTTCTTTAAAATATAGCATGAGGTTTGATTTGATTACTGGGGGAAAGAAGCAGATATTTCCAGACCATTAGGCTTATGTAAGTATAGGTGAGTTGTGCCCAGTCTGAAGGAAAATACCGGTCCTGTGCCTAACAGGGATGGAGGCAGCAAAAAGTGACCCCAGTAGTGCTAGTTAGGCAGTTTGCAGAACGCTGTGAGGTGTAATTGTTGTGTCTGTTCCCTACAGATACTCCCACTCCTGCTTGTAGCTGCGTCACCTTGCCGTAAAGGGAATGTGAAAGTAACATACACAACTGTCCCATACTTCAGGGATAAATTGAGGACTTTAATTGATTAGTTTGCAATTCTCATTCTTTGTTTCAACACTGGACTTAGTAAAAGGGGATGGTGGTGGTGTTCTACTTTAACCAAGTCCAAGGCCTTTATAATGTAATCTCTAACTCCAGCACTGTCATACTGAGAAATGGTTTCTAATACCACATGTGTGTCTCTCTTTCAGCTGGACAAAGCTGACAGAAAGGTTTTTTAAGAATACCCCATGGCCGGAGGCCGAGGCCATTGCCCCTCAGGTTGGAAATGGTAAGTCTTTCACTTTCTTTTTGCTTGTCAGAGAGAGAAGGAACTAAATCACTCTTGATACACGAGTGAGCAGGTGGACAGTGTCCTGCCGCCTGAGTCAGTCGTCTTTGTTCACTCTGGCAACTCCTTCAGCAGATGCCTGGCAAGAAGTCGAACTTGAACGAAGTATCCTTTTGTGCCTCCCTTTATTACTGTGGCAGGAGGAGCACCACTGTCGTATCTGAGAGATCCAGTTGCCTTGGCCTTGTGGCTTGCTAATGTCCAGTTCTGTCATCTTTTCCAGATGCTGTTTTCCTCATCCTATACAAGGAGCTGTATTATAGGCACATCTACGCCAAAGTCAGCGTGAGTGTTTGTCCTGTGTCTTCCTGTTGGCTGCATGCTGGCTTCTGTGTGCCATAAAACTTACAAAATCTTGCTTCCACCACAGTATCAGTGGTTCCATAATTTTTGCAAGACAGGATTGGATAGGTTTATGAGCTGTAAGTCAAGGGAAGTTAAAATTCTTGCCTTTTGTTAGTTTAGTAAGGATTTGCTGATTGCTGAAAAGCAAGAAAGACTTGACTGTCTTTCTGAGGCTCGTTAGCTGCCTCCTCAAGCTTGGTTGTAACAAGTGTGCAGGATTCCCTGCCAGCTGATATGAATCAGAAGACCTGGTCTGAGTTTTCAGGAGGCTACTACGTCAAAGTTTGTTACTGACATCAAATGTAGTGGTCAGTGAGGTAGGGAAGAAGGAGGTGTTGGGAGGTAATTGAATTATTTTTTTGATAGAGCTGTAATTGCAAGACCTATAGATGAGTTGGTTTTGTGTGTTTCTTTGTGGCTCTTTGTTCTTCAGATTAGCAGGTGGGTGAGAGGGGGTGTCAAAAAAGGGAAGGTGCATTATTTGTGATTAAAAAAACACACAGGGTCAGAGTGCCTTGTGGAGAGGGAAACATGGGCACCATAAAGAATACAGGACAAGGAAATGGAAGGAATAATGCTCTATAAAACAAAACAAACCCACTTCTTTTTCTTAAGCTAATTTGAAATCGGTGAGAAAATCACAGTAGTTCTTGGTTCTTTAAGGAAAGAAGCTGAACAGAGGCATGACTTATGGGGTAAATACGTAATAGCTGCAGTTTTGATGTGGACCAGAGGGTGGAGAAATGGGCACTTTAAAAAGGCTGCTGTATTAACCCAAGTCAGGCTTTAACAGGAGAGACTGGTTTCTCAAGCTGTGCTGTTAGTGGTTCTCAGACTGCCCTCGAGTGTCTCCAGGTGAAATGAGGAAGATGATTCTAGGAAGGGAGCGGTTCCCTACTGTGTTTACTGGTCTTTCAAAGCATTTAGAAATACTGTCCAGAAGGAGAATTGTTGATTTATTAAGGCCTCTCATGAGGGGAGAAGGAAGGAAAGCTGGTGAAGGTAATAGGAAGCTCTTAAGTCTGGACAGCAGAGAGGAGGACACGGAAGGTTGATGCATCCTATTCACAGAAGGTTTGAATGCTCGGTCGTCCTGGGAGAAGCTACCTGTACGTGAAAAGTCAGCCCTATTCTATGGGACAATAGTGATACAATCTCAGGCTTTCTGGGTGGCGCTGGTGGGTGTCCTGGTTCAATATTGGCTCTAACATTTCTGAAATAGACCCTCTACTGCTGTGACTATTGACTGTCCTTCATAAGCTGTTGCCCATAAACTCACTCCTGCTGTGCTTGAAACTAACAGACTGTGCTGACTTCTCATTGCAGGGGGGGCCCACGCTGGAGCAGAGATTTGAATCCTATTACAACTACTGCAATCTCTTCAACTACATCCTCAGTGAGTTGCTGCAATTCATTTCTGGTTTGTGAATTTTGGAGAGGGAGGGTGGATGGAGAGGGGGTTAGAAGAACTAGAACATGTTTGTTTACAGATCATAGAGGGTGAAGTAGTCTACGAGCTTTCCATATGTTTGAGTTTGTTGAATGGAGAGCACTTTACGTCCATGCATTTAAAACCACAAAAAGCACAAATAGTTTCCAATGCTTTCTGAATTACTGTAAAGAATAAAACTTATTTAGCTTTCTGTCTTGCTGAGAACTGCTTCACCTATCTTTATTTAAAAAGCAAAATGAAGCTGTAAGCTAGAGAAAACTTGCAGTGTTTCACAACTGCTTACTGTTGTTGACTCAGCTTGGAACCAATTTTAGTGTTGGCGATGCCCTGCCAGACTTCTTGCGGAGAGCAGATCAGTTAGGATAAACCCCTACAGTCTGTGCGCAGCTTCTGAGAATCACTGCTGCTGAGCAGTCACGCTCTAGAGATTAACCACATACATGCTCGTATTCTTTAAAAGTGAAGGCAGTTGAGGTAGCCGAAGTTACATATCACCGCCCTACTGGAAGCTTCATTCATCTGCTGCTGCATCTCCCCTTTCAAGGAAGTTCTTGCGTTCTTAAATTTCTCTATTCCTCCGGTTCTGCCACTGTTCTTGCTCAAAGTATGAAGCCTCTCATCTGTTACTTATGTTCTTCTGCAGATGCTGATGGCCCTGCTCCTCTGGAACTGCCCAACCAGTGGCTCTGGGATATCATTGATGAATTCATATACCAGGTATACGACTATAAGACTGGGCCATTTTGGG